AAAAAAAAAAAAGAAAGTGGGCTGCGTGACGACAAAAAAACTGAAACGAAAAAAAAAATTACAAAAATTTTATAGCGGAAGTAGTAAGAAGGAAAGAAGCTGAAGAGATTCTTCAAGGGAACAGAAAGTGTTTCGTAGCCACCACAGCAAATGGCGTCAGCCCTCCAACCACCATCGAACATTGGGGAGGAGTCATCTGTTGTGAACGTCATTGCCAAAGTGCGATCGACACCTAGTGTGACAACACAGCCCACATATGACGCCCCTGTGATGCAGCCACGCTCAGCAGAACGTGAGTCATCAGGAGAACCGTACCAGCGAGCACAGGCGCGGCCCGTTGTGCGGTTTCCTCGTAGTAACGCTGGAGCACAAGTCACTGTTGGCACTGGCGACGTGGTGCCAGGTCCGGGTGTATATGATCACAACTACCTTCGTCATCACCATCACCATCTCCTCCAGCAGCAGCAACAGCAGCAGCAACAGCAGCAGCCTTCGCTGCGTATTGGAGCTCCTGGTGATGATGCAGACAAGATGCGGGAGAGGATATTTAACTCGAGTAGTAACTCTACACACCCAACCCCGGATACGCCGCATACAGTTGTGCAACCACCCACACCCATTTCAGGGACTAAAACATGGACAAATAAGCCTTACCGTAATATGGGGATGTCTGCGCAGATGGGGGATGTGACGGATCGAAAGATCATGAGTGGTGCCGCTTTGGAGAAAGGGGCATTCGGGGACCATGGACTGGGCCGAAGTGGGGGCCAAAGTACAGCCCCGCAACAGCAAGCCGACATGATGGTATCGTCGATGCCCCCATATATGCGGCACGCCCAGGTGGAAAGTGACCCTCAAGAATATCAGAGACATTTACGAGCAATGCCCCAGCAGCAGCAGCAGCAGCAACAACAACAACAACAACAGCATTCGTTTTATGGCGCCAACCAGCAAGGCCAGGTGCACAATGGTGGGCAGTACCCCAGAGATCTTGAGCGCGATGTATACGAAATCTACTATCCACAACAGAGCCACTATCCTCCTTCACTGCAGCAGTCACACCAGCAACAGTACCAGAATTGTCAACAACAGCAACAGCAGCAAACTCCCTCTTCATATTATGCTCCACAGCCAGATCCTCAAAACTGGCGCATCGGGGGTGACACACGGCATGGCTACGCTGACCCCAACAACTACGCGTCGCCACAGAATAATTCAAGGTATCCTGGTGGTGGCGGTGGTGGTAGTGGAATGTCAATGATGCGACCGTATAACAACAACGCTCCAATCCCTTCGGCGCCACCGCAGCAGCAACAACAGCAGCAGTGGTCCGGAGGGCAGCGGCAGTATCTAAGAGGCAATATGCCTTCGGCAGACTTTATGTCACAGCAAGCACCGTCGCCGTATCCGTGCAGTAGCGACAATGGTTTGTCGCGATACCCGTCGAACACTCCAACGACAAGAGTTGGCGTTGGTGCGGGTGTGACGCCACCGTCTGCAGCGTCATACGGTGGATTCTCCAATAATTGGCGACAACAGCCACTCTACCAAGACGAAACACATCAGCAATCACAGCCCCATGCCGTTCCTCCAGCGTACCAGAGCAGTGGTAACGGGTCCCCTAGCCCATACCAGCAGCCGATGATGCCAGGGCAACGTATGGACTATCCTGATCGTCAAAACCAAGACCAGTACTATGGCAATGCGCAGTGGAACTACGGCTTCGGCAGTCATCCGACAATGCAAAACACACCCAACTATTCTCAGCAACCAGGACAACAAGGGTTCAATTGCCCATCTTTCAATTCAACAGGAGGACCTGTAGGTGCGCCTTCGGTAGGACCAATGATGGGGAACGCGCCAAACTACCCACCGCCGCCCACGTCTGCGTATCCGCCCCCGCAGCAGCCTTCTGATCCGTACGGTGGAAGAGGGGCAATGCCTCAGCCTAACAGCAGGTTCGGTTTTCCTCCCGTAGTGGGGTCTACACAGCAGCAGCAGCGGAAGGCTCAACCGCACTCTCCAAATCGACGCGGAGATGGCGGCAACAATGGATGGGGGCATATGCCATCAGCCCAAGGTGGACGAGGGTACGGGGGATTCAGCCGCGGTCAGCAGAGACAGCAAGCACAGCAACAGGCTCGACGACCAGACAGCTTGCCGCGTTCAACACCACCTATGGAGGATCGTAGTGACACTGCTGTAGTGAATCAAAGCTCGGGTGAAGCCAACGATGGAGCGACACCTACAAACAGTAATGTGAAGCAAGCGGTTGAAGGCTGTGGGGAGGAGGATCAGTGACGTGCTCTGTTGTCACTAATCAAAGGTTTTTTAACCGATGACTCAGTGAAATAATTGGTGATGGGGTGGGAAATTGCACAAAAATGAAGCAACAACTTGAATTAGCATCATTGGGTAGTACACGGCGTGCAGGAAGCATAGAGGATCGAGTGCAATAGGCCAGAGAAAGGTTTTTGGTGACAGAATACGTAACTCGACTGGCGTGTTGGTGAATACTGAGTAGTGTAGACATTTATACGAAAGCGAGTTGACGAGAAGGGNGACTAACAGGCAAACAATCGGAAGGGGGGAGGGAGAAAAGGAGAAGGTTCGGAGCGTGCCTGTGCGAAGGAATAGCGGAAGGAGAAAGGTATCCTGTGTCTTTGCTATTACTACTGGTTTTCTTGGAGGGCACACTGAAGCAGAGACATTTTTTTGTGTGTGTGTGTGTGTGTATGTGTCCGTTTGCCCGTTACCCCTTGGCTGTGGCCGTAACTCTTTGTTTCATATCCTACTCAACCGAACGAGAAGGCGTGTGGAAGGAATAAGTTATTAATGGAGCGACTCACAAGGTGACAAAAGAGGGAAAATAGAAACGGGGCGCGGGAGGAAAATGCGTTTTTTTTCTTGCTTTATTTTCGACGTAATTGCTGCTAAAAGAGGGCGGTGGGAAAAAAACAGACCGCTGTGTGTGAGGCAGGGGGTCTGTGTGTGTGTGTGTGTGTGAAGGGGCGAGGGGTGGGAGAGAGAAAGGNCTGTGTGTGAGGCAGGGGGTCTGTGTGTGTGTGTGTGTGTGAAGGGGCGAGGGGTGGGAGAGAGAAAGGAGAGTTTAACGCACATACTGGGCGGCTGAAGTGAGGAGGAGTGTACAGACGCGGCTCTGTGTGTGCGTGGCGGGGTGAGGGAAGGGCAGCAGGGCTAGTGGAGGAGGGGAGGGGCGCAGACACAAACTAGCAATGCACGCATGCGTCTGTGCTGATGGAGACAGAATAAATATGTTTGTTGACTCCGTCTTGCCCACGCATTCATGCGCAGTCCCCATTCCTGACTGACTTAAATGCCTTTCCCACCGATATCTCTTTCGGGGACTATCTTTCACTGTTGCATCCCCAGCACTCTGATGGGCGGATGTGTATGCATGCCGTTCTTCCTTGCCCCCCCCCCC